CTGAACCCCTCAACCCTAAACCGTAATTCCCTAAACCCCTAACCCCTAACCCCTAAACCCTAAACCCCTTTAGGGACTAAGGATCAAATCCGGCACTGGCCCACCGGCAGCGATGAAGGCCAAGGCCAGATCTGTCCGGTGCCTGCGGCGCCCCAAAATTGCCCCCAGAAGCCGTGTAAGCCTTGAGCTTTAGGGTTTAGGGCTTAGGGTTTAGGGCTTAGGGTTTAGGGTTTAGAGCTTAGGGTTTGGACAGGAGACTGTTGTGTGGGAGTCTCCTTGAAACCCTGACCCCCGAACCTGAAGCAGAGAAGCCCAAAGCCTCAAACCCGAAACCCGAGACCCAAAGCCGGCGACCCCAAAGACGGAAACAGCAGTATGACCTCAGAACTTCCCTAGGATTCGTAGAGGCCCTTATAAAAATCCTATTGGGGGCTCTTCTTTGAGCAGGCAATCCTGGCTCCAAGCGACTCCGATGGGCTGGAGGCATTGAGACACGTTGGAGTTTAGGGTTTAGGGCTTAGGGTTGGCAGTCGTTTTCTGGTGATGGGTTTAGGGTTTAGGAGGGTTACAGTAGTTGCTCGCACATTATATACATATCTCAGCGGCTTTTGCTTTCATGATCCTATGACACGCACGAGTAATGCTTATGCTGCTATGATCATCTGAATCTGATGATTGCTATTGCGATTCTGATTACTGTTGTCGTTGTTCGTATTGCTTTCGGTTTCAAGCACTAGGGTTCCTTGGACTCGGGGTCGCCGCGGTTTCGGGTTGTTTGGGCTTTCAGGTTTGAGCTGAAGTTCGGCAACTCTCAAAGTCACAGGTCTCCCACCCCGTACTAGTACCACCCGTTCTCTCCAAAGTTCCCATCCTTCCAGGCCGTCTACTACAACTTCTGCGGGGCGGGGCACTCTGACATGGACGGGAGCCTTGGGCCCAAGTCCCAAGTTGCAGTGTTTTCCATGTCAGTCTGTGTGTGTCTTTTTTTTTTCGTTCGACGTGGTACCTGAAATGGCTTTGAGCACCGTTATCTACGCTTCTAATGCCGATGATGACCATGGTGTCATAGTGACCTGCTCTTGAGAGTTCTGGGGCCTTTGGCGGCTTGGGTCTCCGATGTTTCGAAGAGTTCACGGCCGGGGCTTCGGGAACCCAGAAAGCCAACCTGCAGAGCCTTGGAGAACGGAAGGGCGCGAGCCTGTTGAGGGTTTTGAGGCTTTAGGGTCCCTAAACCCTAAACCCTGTTGAGGGTTTAGGGTTTTTAGGGTTTAGGGTCTATAGGGCTTTGGCTGAATGTGAGACTAAGGAAGAGCTTCAAGCGGCTCTGCCAGGCGCGGGCATGGCCTGGTCATGGGAGGCTTAGGCGTTTAGGGGGGGTTGGCCAAGCGTTGTTGGGTGTAGTACATGGTGTAGTATAGGCTTTAAAGTCCGGGGTTTGGAAGGTGAGAATTGCTAGGGCTTCAGAGGATTTCACCTTTGCAGTCAAGGTACAGGCCCTGCTGCCTACTGCTTATGGAGTTTAGAGTTTGCCGTTTAGTCGTCCCGAACGAAGCCTTAGTGAGTCAACAAAGTATCAGTCCGCCTAGTTGACCTCCCAAGACTCAAATCGCACATAGGGCGCGTGCTGCCTGTGACTGCCACCTTGAGCCCCCACAAGCTGCCAACACCGCAACTGGCCGTAAGCCCCTTATTGCAAGCAGGATTGTGAGCTGATGGACAAGCGATTGGATGCGACGGGGGTCGATCTGATCTTCGCCGACAATCGCGCCTCCCGGCCGAAAGCCCTGAAGTCTTGAGTAGGCGCTTTTTTTTTAAAGCTTCAGGGTCGGGCCCAGGGCTCCGCAGCGTCGGTTGAAACCCCGGTTGTTGGAGGTGAAGCCTCGGGGGCAGAATCGCATCGACTTCCTCCAGTTCGAATCCGCCTTGGAGCTGCTCGCGGAGAAGCTGCTTGCTTTTGGGAAAGTTGGGACCCCCTAACCCTGTTTGGGCTTCGAGCTCTCTTCGCCCTCAGCAGGCTTCCGATTCAATGGTTACTTGTGCCTTCAGGTTTCGGGATACTGGCGTTTGGCAGATTGCACTCTGCAAGCCTGTGTCCAGTTACCTAGGCACCGGTTCACTCATGTTGACCTTTCACACGATGCGAGGGTTGCGTTCTCTGTTGGGGCTCGGGCTGTGCGAGCTTACCTATCACCCGAAGGCTGAATCGCAAAGAAAGTGGCCTGTCCACACCGAAACATGATATTCAAAGCCCTAAGCCCTGAACCCGAACCTTGAACCCTAAACTCTAAGATCCCAAACTCTAAGTCCAAAACCGAGGAAGGGGGTGGCGAAAGCGGATATTCGGAAGGACCGGACTTGGAAGTTGTGAGTTTCAACGCATTTGGGCCCGGGAGGGGAGTTCCGAGTGCTGCGAGCTGATTGTGCATGCAACTTGCCGTCCCCAACTCTTTCAAGGGGAAGCTGATTGCAATGAGGGCTAGTTGAGAACATTTTTCCTTCGAAGAGGAGCCGAACCACCACAAAACAGACCTAGCTATGGCTAGTTTTGGGGTAGGTGTTGTTGAACAGTTACAACATGCTGGCACGGGGGACCTCGCCTGTAGGGCTCGCGGTTGAAGGCTTGGGTTGTTGGGGTTGGATACATGTTCGAGTGGGGTTTAAGGTTTCGGGTAGCCTCGAGACGCAAACGGCTGCTACAAGCGGCGACGAATTCTCCCCCCGGAAGCAGTGCGAGCTCCTCCGCCCTGAACCGCCGTGAACCGAAGCCGACCGCATCCTGCAGAACCCCAAAAGCCAAACCGGCTTTCTGTGAGCACACCAGTAAGCTGAGAGGACATGGTCCTTCAGGGGGGGCCAAAGGTTGCGAAGAGCACCTCGGTGCCTGTCATCCCCGCGAACCGGAAGCCCAAGGAGCCACCATAAGGGTGGGTTTTAGGTTCGTGGGTAAGCTTCGATTTCTCTGTTCTCTGGAAGGGGTTGTATGCAATCGGGTTTTGTGATGGGCTTTGCTGCTCTTTGGGATTTGTTCCTTGCGGTTGTGATTGGCGTTTTTAGGCTGTGTTTAAGGATTAGGGCTACGGATCGTCATGACGAGGACCCCTCTGGCGAAGATCTGCCAGGGGCTTGTTTATTGATATAGAGGTCTGCAGAATTGATAGTCGCGTCCCTTGTGCAGCACCTGAAGTGTTACAGTATCCTTTTTGCTAACATAAGAAATCCGTTTTTATTCAAATTCAGACGACATGCATCTTTGCGTTTCCAAGGCTCCGAGGCGGCCCAGGCTCGGACGAACTCCTTTTGCCGCCCGGCGCTGTGCCAGGTTAGAAGGCACATCCCCGAACTCCCAAACCAAGAACTCTAGACCCGAAGGCTCTTAAACCCTAAGCCCTACAAGCACAGAGTAGGAGGACGAGTGCCTAGGGCTCTCCTCAAGCTCGCTTTCGGACGATGCGTTTCTTGTGACGTGGAGTGCCACGGCAACCCGTGCGTCTTGCTCTTACGGTAACAGAAGAACCCGATGTGGGCCCTCCAAACCCGTAAAATCTGTGGATTCCTCACAGCATCTTGTTAACCTTGGAGATCAAGCAGCAAAGCTTTACGGAGAGCCTAAAGACCAAAACCCTCGATCCCTGCACCCCGAACGCTACACGCGAAAGACCGAAACCGGGACAGGAGAACCTCCGACAGATCAGCCAGAAGCGCATCCTGTCCATCATCAAGCGCCCGGCCAACGAGCCCAAGGGCCAGGAGACGTGGCGGAAGGACAGCGGCAGATTGGTGTTACGGTCCGTAGGGCGGTAGGGAGGGGTTGGTAGGGCGGAGGCTCAAGAACTGCAAGCGAGGGCCCTTCTTTTTGCGTGCTCCCGCGTTGACTTCAGGATACAGGGCCGGGTCGAGTTTATAGGCTTTGGGTTTTGCGGTGACAAAGGCGACGCCCTCCAAGGTTTCAACACCTCGCAACCTGAAGGACTTACGATTCCGGGTCCGAACTCCACTTCTCAGCCTTCAGCTCCGAACCCCAAAGTCCCTGAGCCGACGCTGAAATTCCGCCCTCTGCCGCGACAGAGGACGTGAACAACAAGGAGCTCTGGAAGGCCGGGCTTTGGGCTCTTGTCCCGCCTGCCAAAATTAGCCGCCGTCTTTCCACCTTCTTCCCGGGCTTGGGGCTCCGGGCTTTTGGGGCTTTTTGGGGGGCTTTGGTTTAACTCCCCAGGCCCTGGGAGCTTGGTGCGAGCTTTGGATTGGAGGACAGGTGATGGAATGGGGCCGGCGCTGTGACTTTTGGTTTGCTTCTTCTGCGGGGCCTTCTGCTCTTCGACTTTTGGCAAAAAGCCGGAAAGCCTCTCTGGGCGGTTCGGGGTTTCTCCACGTCGATGCCCTAGCAGGGACCTCAAGGCCCGAAGCCCCGATGAGAATCCAGCTCGGCCTGGAACCCGGAAAGCTTGTCGGCCCGTTCTTTTCAAAGGATTCTTTCTTTGTTGGGGCGGATAGGTCACGAAGCGCAGGTCTTTGGCCTGGACAATGCAGCCGGCCGGACCTTAAAGCGCATTTACAGCGGCACCGAGGCGGGTTTTTGGGAGTTATAGGGATCTGAAGGTTCTACCACAGGGGTTTTGATTTGGGTTTCACAGGGATCGAGCTTGGAGGTCTCAGGGTAAACTTGGGGTTTTACAATTATGAGTTGGTTGGTTCAGGGCCTAGGGGCCTTGGTTTTGGATTATCTGGGCTTTGGCTCAGGGCTTAGGACTCATTGCGTTTGGGCTACGCAGTCTGTCGGTTTCGACACTCGCTTCTGCAAGGATGTACCAAGCTCCAAACCCTGACCTTCACAGTACGTGTAGTATTGTAGTATAACAAACCCCCAAAACCCTCAACCGGAAGCCCCAAACAGGTGGGAGCCGTGTCCCCAGTGAACGCGCAGCGATCTCTCCGTCGGACGCCCTCGGCGGAGATGATGATGGCGGGGCTCGGGCTTGAGGTTTACAGGGTTACAGTCCTACATCGTCGAGTCTTGGGACACCCAAGCCTTAAAAAACTAAGATCCCCGAGGCCACTCCGATTTCCGGACTCCGTGAGCTGAAGAGCCCCAAACCTCGAGGATCCAGCGCTCCTCAAGTGCACTTCCAATCCCCAAGGATCCCCGCAAACGGAGACCTTCAACGCAGAGAGCCCCAACCCACACCAGACCTTAAGATCCTGCATTACAAAAGAGCCCCCCCAAAAAAACTCCGTCTAGAACCGCTCTATAGGAACCTCCTACTAAGACCTGGAAGCCCTTTAAGCCTTAAAAGAGCCAGAAGCAGGTGGGCAAGGCGCAGTCCGACGGCCTCGTACTTGGGCCGAAGGCTTCGGCCTCCTCGGGGGAGGGGGGGTTTTGGGGTGTGAAAGCTTTGTTGGGGTTTTGGGGGGTTTTGGCGTTTTGGGGTTTCGGGTTTCGGGTTTAGATGAGGTTCAGGGGTTCGGGCTTTGTCTTTTTGTTGAGACTTATTACAAGGGTTCCGTCGGGTTTGAGGAGCTTTTTGAAGGTTTGGGGGCAGGCCGCATTGGATGGGTTTCATGTGATTTTTGCGCCAGAGTTCAGTGTGTTGTCAGGTGCTTCTTTCGTTTGGCCGGGGGGTTTCGCTTCAAGATAGGGGTGTGCGAAAAGTTAGTACTAGCTACTCGTATTTCCTTGTAGTCCCGTGCACTGATACTCCTATAAATTCTCCTATAATATGTAATATATATGTATATATATGTATATATATACACACACATACATCCCAAAACCTTTTTCCTAAGTAAGGGTTTTCGGAGTGAAGTCTCGGCCCTGCGCGTCTCTGATCCCCCCACAGCACCGTACGGCTCGAACACCTGTGCGCTACTGGATCCCGCTCCCGAAAAAAATGCCATCCATGGGGTGGAGCAAGGGCTGTCGTTTTTTTTTGTGTTTGGGCTTGAGCATTACCGAAGAGCTCGGGTGAGGGTTTGCAGCAAAGGACTTAAGAATTGGAGGGCGCATCTGCCAATAACGAAGTCGCAAGGCCTCCAAACGTTTAATGAGTGATCCCGAACTCTGCTTGAGCAGGATCAGGAAGCTTAGGAAGCAGGTGATGAAAAGAAAAGGGATACTAATAGCCTTACTTGTCAAGCTATTTACGAAAGCCAAGACGTCGAATTCCAAGAGCCCCTCGAAGACCGAAGACTCCAACTTCCTCGAACCCCTTGCTGTACCCTAGATTACGGGCTCTACACCCTAAGCTGGGTACACTGCTTGACATTCTTAAGATACCTTGCATGATCGTAAACCCTATAAGCCCGTAGCTCTGGTAGGGTATTCTTCAATCACGGGCTTCCCACGTCTCTCAGAAGCCAGGGCGCGTTTAGCCTCGAGGGCTACCGGCTGCCCACGCCGGTGTCTTACGCATCCTAGTTATCCGGAGTTCCGGAAGTTATTCCTGAGGCTTTAGAGTTTAGTAGTAGTAGGCCCGATGGCGGAGCATGACTTGGTGGCATGAATTTCCACCCTCTTGCATGTTGCAGCATCTTTGGTCTAGCTTATGGCATTCCAAACCCCAAACCCTGAGCCCGGTTTGACACCCCGAACCCAAAACTCTGGCGCCATAGATCCCCGTAGCATCCCTGGACACCTCCCCAAAAAACCCAAGGAGTACAATCTAAAGCACAAACCATGCAGTTGCTAGCACGGCTCCGGCCAGCGTCGAAACGTTTCACGGTCTCACCCTGGGTCCACGGCCTCTGCAAACAGAGCCGCTGGACCGGACCCAATCCGTTGCGTTCCCTGAACTCGGGATCCCAATTGAGGAAGAGCTTTGTTTCTATTTATAGTTATATATTCTACATTCTACAATATACAGAAAAGGTATAACATGATTAAGTAAGTAAGTAAGTAAGTAAGTAAGTAAGTAAGTACGTAAGTACGTAAGTAAGTAAGTAAGTAAGTAAGTATGTATGTATGTATGTATGTATGTATGTATGTAAGTAGGTAAGTAAGTATGTATGTATGTGTGTATGTATGCAATATGTATGTCAAATGTGTATGTGTATGTGTATACATATATATATACACACGCATATGTATGTGTATGTGTATGTGTATGTGTATGTGTATGTGTATGGGTATGGGTATGTGTATGTGTATGTGTACGTGTATGTATATGTACATGTATATGTATATGTATATGTATATGTATATGTGTATGTGTATGTATATGTATTTGTAGATGTAGATGTAGATGTATATGTATACATACATACATATATATAGATAGATAGATAGATAGATAGATAGATAGATAGATAGATAGATAGATAGATATGCATACACACGTACATAACGCGACAGGGGCACAGAGGATCGGATTTCAACTGCAGCGATGTTGGGAAGTCCCTGAGTGTTGGAAACGCGCATCACTACGACAGTCCTGTCTGGACTTTAAGGCCGCGGGCTTGTGCCGCGGGTTAATGCGACAGGGCCGGCAAGCCCTACATCGGGCTCGAGAAGCCCTGCAAGTCACATGTGGACAGAGAGCGCCTTGAGGCTCAGGTAGGAATTCAAAGCCCTGAACCCAAGGCATGATCCAAGCTACCGATCCTTCACCCTAAGTCGTAGGAGCCCCGGTAACCAAAATCCCGAACATCCCCAAACCCTTTAATCCTGGAGGGTTTTCAAGGTTGTCTGATGTCAGGCCCCAGCTTTGCAGTCTGGCTGGGGAGGATTTTTTTTCCATGAGCTCCGAGGCATGCTTCGGTTGTTGTTGGCTTCACACCTCCCAGAAACCCTTGAATCCCTAAGCCCGATAACCATTCGACTCGTCCTTCTTTTGGTTTTACAGGGGTGCCGGCCCCGGTTAAGGAACTCTGCCGCGAGTGGCCCCAGCTTTTCGTGCATGTTCGGATGCGGCGAGAAAGGCTTCTTGTCTGATGGCCTGGGGGGCTCGAGCCGGTCCGAAATTCTGAGGGTTGGCTCTTCGATGAGAGTTGTTTTTTTGGCTCAGGCTCTTTTTTCAAGGGCATCTTTGTGGATGTCGAGGGGCTCGAGGGCGCAAAGCTCTAGCTAGGATCCCCGATTCCAGGGAGAAGTAGTAGGAGCTCCTAAGCCTACGGTCCCAGAAGGCCACCAAACCGAAGCCTTCTGTTGAAGAAACCCTGCCACAAAGGCCTCAGAGCTCAAGAAGAAGCTTCAACTCCCCAGAGCCTCGGTGTAGTTGTAAGGGCCTTTTCCTAATTTTTTAGGATCCCTTTCCTCCTCCTATCCCTTGTTGCGGAGGGGGTTTCTATGAAGCATACACTTCACAAGCAGAAACCCTTAAGGATCAAAATCCCAGCTCCTTTTCTTTTGAGTTTAGAAAGCAAGTTCTTCACCAGGGCCTGGTTGCTCGGCCTTGGCCCAAAAGGCCTTTCCCCTCTGCTTTCAAAGCCCTTTTAGAGAGGCTCAAAAGCCAGAAGCCAAAGAGCAGAACCCAAGATTCCGGCCCAAAGTCGGCCATGCCGGTCTATGCGCTCGGTGCCGCCCTGCCGCGCCTTTCGCAAGGCGCCTGGGTCGCGCCTGGGGCGCAGGTGGTCGGAGATGTGCGGCTGGGGAAGGACCGTCAAAGAGGGTTTAGGCTTGAGAGGGTTGGGGGATGAGGGGGTTGTAGGGGTGTAGGGTGCACCCTAAACCCCAACACCCGAAGGCTTCAGGTCACCATGCGAGTGAGTTGCGCGCAGGTTTCAGGCATTGAGGTTCCTTCTTGACAGGGACTCGCACCGTCTTAGGGGTACCCTGCATTCCAGGAAAGGGAACAGGCGGTTGCAGCAGTAGTCATCTCTAGTCAATGGAGTTCACCTTGCGCCACTTGTAATGCCATGTGGATACCAGAAGCCTTACGTAGAACCTACTTACAAAGCTTTCCGAGCCTTTGAAAGGAAACAATCAATCAATCAATCAGTCAGTCAGTATATATATATATATATTGATTGCACGTAACTGTTCCGGAAGCCTGGAGGATGTTGGCGTGTGGTTCAACTCTGTTCTGCGAGGGGACGACTCACACATCGAGGCGGGGACTGTTCGAAGATTTGCTGCAAGGAGTTCATGTCAACCGGCCGGTTCATTGTTTCTGCTTCTTCTCTCAGAGTTGAGGGCTTGGGGATGAGATTGTACGGGCGGTTTGCAGCCGGCTTGTGGTCAGGGAGGCGACCCGCCCGAAGCAGGGTTGACGCTTCACTCCCTACAAGCACCCGCGGTTTTGCGCCTTGCTCTCTGTCCGAGGTGGGGGATGGGACCAACATCCAGGATTTGACCATGGTGCACCTGGACGAGGGGCTCCCCTGCACCATCGGCAGGAATGTCACCATCGGCCATGCCTGCGTGCTGCACGGCTGCACCATCGAGGACGAGGTCCTCGTTGGTATGGGAGCCATCATCCTCAACAAGGCCGTGATCGGCCGGGGGAGCGTCGTGGGGGCTGGGGCGCTGGTCTTGGAAGGCATGCAGGTGCCTCCCTTTTCCTTGGTCGTGGGCTCCCCCGCAAAGGCCCCTGGCTCGTTTTTGTTGCGTGTTGCGCAGGAGTTCTCATGCCTTGACGATCCTTAGCAAACTTGGGTGGACAAGCTTGGGGCCTCTTAATCTCATTCCATGGTGGTTGGATGATGGAACGGCTTCCGCTAACCTCAACAACGCGAGCCGGATCTGACGCCGCTACGCTACGTCGACGACGCGTCAAAACAGATCCGAGTGAACGTCCGACATTCGCACCGCCAGGGGCAGTCATGGCCGTCGCCTTGTTGTGCCAGAGCTCAAGAAAGGTGCTGGATCAGACTGGTGACATGGCCGGCTTAGGTTCGCGAATGCTGTGGCTGGCCGCCACGTGCGCGGGAGCAGCAACAGGTCCAACAAGCGTTGCACCCGGAATTGCGGGGCACATCCATGCGCCGCCCCGGACCCGAGACCCGAGTTGCTCGCGCCACAGCGTGGCCAGTCGACAGCGTCTTTTTTCCGGCAGCGCTTGAGCGCTGATTCTTCCCCCGTCGCTAGCAGGTGTGCCGGCTTGAATGAAGCTTGCACTTTGACTCAGGATCTCAGTCTGCTTGCAGTAGAGTCGTGCGTCTCGTCATGGCCCCGCGCTTCAGCAGCATCGGACATCCAAGCATGCAGTTCTTGCGTGCGCTAGGCAGGGGCACGGCTGTACGCATGTGACACATGCAATTCCATGAACCTGTGACTCGTGGCATCAGCAGCATTACACACATGCACTTCGGCAGGCGCCACAGTTGCTATGTCTGATGATCAAGCGATACACTCAGCATTTCACTGGGCCCAGCAAGAACACAACCTTTATGGACTATCAGGTGGGTGCAACTTTGTGGTTTCCTGTCTTCAGCTCTGCCCGAGGCTTGGAGGTTATCTGGCGAGGATACTCCATACTTGGTATGATCGTTCATACTGGCAACTCTGTTCGCTCAGGCCACTATCAGGCATTTCTGAGTGGATATCGCCGGTATCCCACGGCTCATCGTTGGGTCACCTTGCTTGCGGATGATGGTAGACCGGTCAAGGACGCTACTGAACATCAGCTACAGCACTCTAAGTGCAACAATTACATCATTGGTCTCAAGCTCTTGGGAGATGCAGCAGATGTGACCTCATCGCTGAGCTGAAGATTTTGCGATCATAGCTGCGCCCGGCATGCTGAACATGAACATTCCATGTATGCTTTCTTTACTTTTCCTGCAGCTGAGCTAGCCCACGCTTTGTACAGTTTGATTGTTAATGACTATGCCTCGCTAGGTCATGCGTGACGGGGGCTGTACCTGCTTTGCCTTTCGTGGCGGGGTACATACCTAACTTTTGAGAATGCATCTGCACATAGTGCGTTCTGCAGCTTCACGCCGGGCAAACGCCTGTTCTCATCAAGCGGTCGCAAAGCGTCAACCAGTATCGACGCTGCGAGATGAATGAAATGAACCTGTGACTCGTTGGGGGCTTCTGGGCACGATGCAGACGTTCATCGCGATGAGTGCTCGCCGCGTCAGTCTGGGTCTGGGGTGGCAGGAAACAGCAACCCTCCCCCTTCTTACCCGATCTTGTTGAATTATCTTCGGTGAGTCGGTAGCCGACGCTGCTCGGACGCTCCTGCGGATGCCAGCGTAGATATGCGCAGCACACATCCTTTGCAAGACCCATCTCGCAAGCCGCCGGGTGGAGCAGCTTTGTTTTCTGTTGCTCCTGCCTGCACTTCACATCCTGGGCTTACGCGCTTGGGGCACTTCGTTCTGGCTCGGAGCATCCCTTCACCGGCCTCGCGTGACGTCGACGACTGCTTGGCCGGCCACCTCCGTGCTGCGCTTGACCCCGCTTCCCTCGACCCGCTGGAAACTTAATGTGGGCCGTTTGCCTCGAGACTCGAGGGTTGTTTCTCACTGCTAGACGCTGTTGCCAAGAACTCGCCCTGACCCACCTGTCTTTTGGCCCTGTTGCTCGGCCGGCTTCGCTTGCCCTTGGCGTTCGACGCTGCAGGCTGTCGCTGCCGCCGTCCCATTGACGCTCTCGGTGACCACCGCACGCCCTCCCCCCGCTCTGGCCTCTTGCGTTATCGGGGACGTCGGCTGAAGCGGGCTGCCCGGGTTTGCCGTGAAGCCGGGCAGTTGTTGCGCGCAATGTTCCGCTCCGGCGCATTGCCAGCACGCTGTCGACAACATTAATGTGCTCCGTCGATGCCAGTGGAGCTGCACACAGGCACCCTTGGCAGTGCGGTGGGACAGCACTGCGCATTGCACGCAAGGCCAAGGAACGCACCTATTCCGGGCGGCTGCGCTCGCAAAGGTGCCTGCTGCAAAGGTTCGTCGTTGCGGCTTCTCGCTTTTGCCATCCCCTCGCCGCAAATGCGGACGGCGACCAGCCTGTTCTTCGCGACGACTCCCTTCGGCCTGGCTTCGGCGAAACTCAGCCTTTTGCCCGCATCCTTTCTCGCCCTTGAGCTGCAGCCTCGGATTCTGGCGCGGAGGACGCTGACCTCGGGAAAAACGATGACCTTTTTCGATGTTGCATATGTTTCTCGCACCTTTTTTTCCGACCGCCCCACAGGTTCAGGGGAGTCACAGACCCCACTATTGGGTGGTGGCCCTAGGTCGTTATGCGCCAATAGCTTGCGGAAATGTATTCGCAACCGGTGTAGTCCACTACCGTGATAATATTTTGCACGCTTGTTGGTGCAGCGTCAGCTTGCGGAAATGTATTGGCAACTTGTGGAAATGCATACAATCCAGTTCTGTGATAACATCTTGCATGCTAGCTTGTGCAGCGTCACCTTGCGGAAACGCATCGTCAAACCACACCATCCACCACTGTGATCATGCGTTTGATGCTTGTTTGGGCGGCGTCACACTGCGGAAACGAATTGTCTATCCTTTCGTATTATGACTATTACCACTCGTTGGTTGTTGTGATCGGTCCGATTGTTTCATGTGGATTCGAGCTTCTACACGGCGACAGGCTGCTGTATTGTGATGCCACGGATGCGTGTCTCTAGCGAGTGGTTTGTCCATTTCGGAGTTATCACGTGGCGCTGTTCACTATATAAGTCCAGCTCATCCAAACCAGTCTCGGTCACATTGTTTGGCGCTTTGGGTACACGGACGTGCGCACACACACACACATGCAGATACATAGGACATAGGGACAGAGAGACACAGCCATTCTGGGGTGCGAAAAGTTTAAGTGGGGATTGGGTTTGGTTGAGGCGATGAGGTCGGCGCCGAAGAAGGGATTCATGGTCGGTTTACGACCTTGCACAGGCTGCAAATGATGTGCTGCACAAGTTTTGTGCAGCCTGGCGGAAACTTCGACGTCGTAGTGGTAGCAGTAGTGGTGGTAGTGGTACTAGTAGTAGTAGTAGTAGTAGTAGTAGTGGTGGTGGTGGTGGCGGTGGTGGTGGTGGTGGTGGTCGTGGTGGTGGTGGTCGTCGTCGTAGAAGTAGTAGT